TCACTACTATACGTACTCATTTGGAATCCACCGCAAGACGTGGAGCAACACTGGACTTGTATACAGAAAGCGATGACCATTTCCGGGCAGTCAAGCTGCGGCCTAGCTCGACGTCCCCCAAAGGCTTGGATCTCTGCTCGTTCTCTGGAGCTGTTAGAACGCCGCAAAGATATCCCGGAGGAATTAGATTGCAACGAGTGGCACCGTTTTGTCAACCGGCTGCTTAAGCATAGCCTATGCAAGGATCGCGAGGGGCCGATATGTTTCTGATCCATGTAAACGATGTGCCTCAGCTACTACAATCACATTGTGCGTTGTTCGCAGATGACTTGAAGGTGTGGAGAGTAATCCGCACACCCAATGATTGTGATTTACTTCAGCAGGATCTCGACAGCCTCTCAACATGGTCTGCAGAGGTTAACCTTCCGATCAACCCTGCTAAGTCGCAATTCATGAGGTTGGGTAAGTGTGAGCACAGCCGAACGTACGCAGTGGCTGGTCAACCGCTGCATCCCACGTCTTTCGTGCGCGACCTCGGTGTACTCTCACGCTGCGACCTAAAGTCCATTGACAACACGAATAGGCTGTACCAAAACAGCCTACGGATGCTTTGGACGCTTAGGCGCAGCTTCAGCACTTGGTCCGAAGAGCTTGCTACTCGTCTCTTCGTCTCGATAATACGACCAATGCTAGAGTACGGCTCTCCCGCGTATTGTCCCATCGCCCTGGGCGAGGTAGAAAAGCTTGAACGGGTGCAGCATGTAGCCACCAGGCTGATTCCCAACTTACGAGGTATGCCATACGAAGACCGATGTAAGAAACTGGGGCTGTACACCCTAGCTTATCGTCGGCTGAGGGTTGACCTCATCATGACGCATCGGATATTACATCTGAGTGATTACCCCATGTTGAGACAACTGCTTCATCTGCGCACACCAAGCAGCACACGAGGACACTGGTATAAGCTTGTCGTACCGGACTTGAAGCGGGTCGCTCGCCAACTCTGTTTCGAACGAAGAGTGGTGAATGTCTGGAACGACTTGCCGCAGCACATAGTATAGGCGAACTCAGTGTCCGAATTTAAGAAGCTCCTAGAAAAACATTTTGCAAAGGCAAAATATAGAGAGCGTAACGATAAATAAGAAGTACATGTCCAAAAGCGACGAATGATGCAGCTACACAGGGAAAACTCTACTCGCTACTTCGAACTAGTATTTAGTATTCAGTATTCATGGTGGTCTGAGCGTGCTTTAGAGATAGAGTCCGCTGTCCTCTTTGGCAACACTCGCAGGCTTTTTCAACTCATTCGGTCCACTGGTTTCAGAAAGCCTGGTGTCAGTGAGGTTATTTGCTTGGTGGCTGAGTCTCCGATCACAAACCAACAGAAAGGTATAGACCGCTGGGCTGAGTATTTTCACTCGCAGTTTAACTGGCCTCCGCCGTCCATCAGTACATTCAGTACATCTAGTTGTCCACCCAGCGAAGCGGAAGTCTTCCTCGAGATTCAACGCTTGAAGCGGTTTAAGGCTGTCGGCGCAGACGGGCTTCCTCCGGAGCTGATCAAGTACGGCGACGTGGCAATCATTAACCAGCTGATCTCGCTGTTCGCAAAAATTTGGCATGAAGAGAAAGTGCCTACCTCTTAAGGCGAACCAGTTATTGTCCCGATTTTCAGGAAAGGCGCTCGCACTTCATGCGTAAATCATCGCGGGATTAGTTTTATTTCGGTTGCCTCCATGCTATTGGCATCTATTCTGCTCCGTAGACTCTCCTCAATACGTGAATCATCCTACCATGAAGAATAAACTGGTTTCCGTCCCGGCCGCGGATGCGTGGATCAAATCTTTACCCTCCGCCCGCTCCCCGAACATCGCCACATTTGGTACAGGCCCACTATCGTTGCATTCCTAGAAATACGTGCTGCTTTTGACTCCGTCGATCGACCTACTTTATGGCGTTGCTTGCTGAAGAACGAGGTGCCAGAGAAATATACCGCCATCTTACGAGCACTTTCATACATCCGGCAGAGTGAGGGTCTACGGCAAGCTTTCCTCGCAATTCGATGTCAATAGCGGTGTGCGACAGGGCTACCCTATGTTCCCATTCCTCTTCAACTTCGCAAGTGAAGACCTTCTGTCGAGTGCTCTAGAAGGTCTCCAACATTTTGGCCTAGAGTTTCTACCGGGTGAGCGCGCGACCGACTTATATTATGCTGATGATATCGCCTTACTTGGTGGCGATCCTCAGGGTATGCAACTCCTTCTAGATAGTTTAGCAGTTGAGGCATCTAAATATGGCATGAGCTTCACTCCATCGAAGTGTAAAGTACTGCTCAAGGATTGGCATTCACCTGCTCCCCTGCTCACTCTCGAAGGTGCACAACTTGAACAGGTAGATAGTTTCGTCTACCTTGGGAACTGTGTTTCTGCTGACGGCACTATCAGCAAAGGAGTTTCTCTTCGCATCGCTAGAGTTCGATCAGTATTTGCCAACCTGAGGCACTTGTGGCATCGTCGCGACGTTTCATTCTCGCTAAAAGCACCGTTTACAGCGCATCAGTTCGCTCAGTGTTGTATGGGAGCGAGTCCTGGCTGATTCGTCGTCGTCTTTCTGCATTCGATAACGGTTGCTTAAGGAGGATCGCTCGTGTTTGGTGGCAATACCGAGTTAACAGTAATGACGTTCGACGTTGCATCTTGGGGAATGCGAGTATTCCCTTCAACAATCTGATTTTGCTACGCCAGTTGAAATGGATCGGTCACGTTTTACGCATTGCACCTGACCGTCTACCGCCTCGCGCTCTATTCGCTCGTCAAGGACCTGGTTGGAGGCGATCGCGTGGTGGTCAGCCTTCCATTTGGCGACAGCACATGAAATCGCTGCCGTCGTGTCCAGCCGCCGTTGGACCCGTACTTCTTCCAAGATGGGAACCCAAAGATAAGGAGTGCCAATGGCTTAACACTCCTGAAGACATAGTCCGCAACCGAAATCAGCGGAAACATTGTGCACAGAATTGTATTGATTCACATGTTTAATACTACAAACATTGAAAATGACAAAAAAGAGAAAAATCGGCGTATGAAAAACAAACTAAAAATGTTTTGTTATACTTTTCGTCAAAAGGTTCCTTTCTTCCTGCGGCATATTAGCTGAAGTGTGTTGCTCAACTTCAGCTACTATGCCACGATGATTATGACGCGATGACTTCAACTTAAACGCTAATCTCTATGGTTTTGTTGGCTCTATGTTTAGTTGCTAGACTGTTGAGATTACATACATACATTCAGGGCGCTTTACTTCCAACTTTCAGGTAGAATGAAAGTCTTTGGCACATTTTCCTCACCCTTCGCTGTCACTAATGGTGTGCGACAAGAGTGCCCTTTGTCTCCATTCATCTTCAACTTTGCAATTGAAGATGTTCTGTTGAGATCCCTAGAGGCTCCCAAAATCTTGATGTTGAGCTTCTTCCTGGCAATCGCGTGACCGACTTAGATTATGCTGATAATATCGCTCTGCTCGGTGACGATTCACAGAATGTACAGCTCATTTTGAACCGCCTGGCGACTGAAGCGTTTAGGTATGGTATGCGCTTTTCTCCTTGAAGTGTCAAGTGATACTCCAGAATTGGAAGTCGTCTCCCTCCCCATTTACCATTGAAAGAACAGAGCTAGGGCTTGTGGACAACTTTGTCCATCTCGGAAGCTGTATTTCTGTTGATGACACTATTTGGAAAGGGGTATCCCTTCGCATTACCAGAGCCCGGTCGGCATTTACCAACCTGAGTCATTTGTGAAGTCATCGGGACGTATCCCTTTCCTTAAAGGGGAGGGTCTGCAACGCTTGTGTCCGCGCGGTCTTGCCATACGGGAGTGAGCCCTGGCCGATTTGTGTGGATGGTATGCGTAGTCTTTCGGCCTTCGACAACACATGTTTGCGGCGGATGGCCCGTGTGTGGTGGAAGCACCAGGTTCGCAACGATGAAGTCCGGTGTCACATCTTGGGAAACATGAGCCCCCCGCTTAATCGCAGTGCGTCAGCTGGTCACGTTCTACGTATGTTATGCGAGTGCTTACTACGCCGCGCCTTATTTGTTCGCAAGGGATTGAATTAGCCGAGAACGCGTGGACGTCAGCCAACCACCTGGCGGCGAACCATTAAATTGCTGATCTGTCACGTAATGGTCGACCAAGTACGTCTTCCTGGTTAGGGGCCCAAGGATGAGGAGTACAAATGGTTTGACAGTAACATCCCGCGAAACCGGGACTGTATACTGAAATGCTTTTAGCAATGTGCTTAGAACTATACTATTCAAAATGCAAAAGTACAAAATGGCGTGTGAGAACAGAAAAAAGCCAAAAGGTATTTGCTATCTGTTCCTGACATTTATACATTTTTTCTATTCTGTTCCTCATGGTTTTTCGATGGCTCAATATCTATTTAGAGGCTGCTGCGTATATATATATATATATATATATATATATATATATATATATATATATATATATATATATATATATATATATATATATATATATATCAGCTACTGATGCGTTGTTATCGGCGATGGTGAAGTTCACTCCCTGACCTATATGTTCATTTGATATCTGAATAAGTGGGTCAGACAGTTCCTAAGAGGATTGCTAAACGGTCAGGAAGGACCCCTAGTAGACACTAATGAAGACGTCCTTGCAGCAGTGGAATACTACTTGGTGGGCATATAATGAACCCAAAATTATGGCTAGAAATACTCCGCCCCTCTTGCATCGCGACTCCACGCCATTCATCCGCATATCCCAAGCTACATGATCGCACCAGAATGATAACATGAACACTGATGCGGATGACAAAGTAAATGTTAGTGCAAGAGAAGCCTTGACTCAGTAGATAGCAACTCACTTTCCTTCGTCGTCATCATACATGTAGCCTTGTTAAAAGAGGAGATAATAATAAGTCCATTCTTGATACCTATGAAAACTTGACCGTGCATAACATTCCTTTTTATGATCCATAGCTTAAATGTGAAGATGGATTTCGAACTAAAAATAAGGAGCGAGATAACAAGGCGTGTCAAACCACGTTACTCGGACAGTCCAATGTCTGGTGTCTTAGTCAAAGAGTTTCATCTCGAAGAAGGCGCACCCACGTTCTTGAGGGAAATACACTTCAGTAATTATTACACCGGCCGAATAACAGGGAAGGTGTGCTACCAAGACGACGTGAGTCCATCATGCTCGTACACATTTGTTTGCATAGACAGACGATAAACCCACATGGCTAAACCTGTTTCGGGTACAACCAATGCTGAATTTTCACGTTTCCGACGGAGCGTGTGCGAAAATAAAAATCTCCATGCCACTCAACTTCGATACATCCGTCAATCGTCATAGATTGCATCGAGTGTGCTTGCTTCTGCAACAGCCATCACCGATTTGGAAGGAATTTTCTGTACGAGAGGTTAAGTTTTATTCGGAATATGTTACCAATACAGGTTCCAATCAACTGGTGAACGAGGTAAAATGCATAAATGATGACATCAATGAGACACGCGATGATGAGTTCGACAGTGAATTGCAAGGACAGAACACAACGGGTGGAAGCCAATGTGAAAACAACTTGGCAGAATTGGTTTCAAAGTGTTATCTAAGTGATGAAACTGAGAACGAGCTCAAAGTCGCGACGAAATAATCGAAATCGTGAAACTGAGTCCGGAGTCCGTAAACATACTATACGGGGGAATTAAAGAAGAGGCCGGTTCGTGGATGAAGTGAACGGGGAACTGAGACGTCGGTACGAAAGGAATCCAAGTATTCCTCGTGAGAAAATGTCTGCTACTATGCACAGCGCCCTATGATATTTGATCTTTCTATTCAATTACAAACAGTAATGGTTTAAATACAGTTGAAAATGCTCAGTTATAGAAAGCGACTTCAAATTATGTAAGCAAATTCATACGTTACGATGGCTGACAATGAGTAGTTAGGTCATATACGTGAAGCAGTGAAGTGCATAAAATATTAGAGAAAAGTTGTCAGGCGAATAAAGTATGGATGACTGTAGTAACCCAAGCAGGTTAAGCGCGGTTATTCAGCAGAGTTGAGTGGTTAGCAAAGCGGTGATAGAGCGAAGGGCAGCATGAGTCGTGACGGGGAAAAGTATTTGTGAGTAAAAAGCCTCATGCGTACACAGCGTAGGGCCAAATATTCGAAAAGAAACGTAGTATACGCTCCAAATAGTTTTGCGATTACCGATCAGAGATATTATGATTAAAATTACGGCAGCAAGTGAACCGAATTGCACACTGTGTGATATTTGGTGTGGCTCATGTCCAAGTATGCAGTTACCGCGACCGATATGTACCATCGTGTGTAATCACATACCGTAGTTGTGCTTAGGCGTACTTCTAAAACTGAGTGCATGTCAATGAGTAGATGCGGTGACTCCCATGCGATGTCAAGTCCAACTGCGACTGACACTAATGTTGACAAGAAACCACATTTTTGTGCCGCAATTCGAAATACAGCCGTTGTCGGTTGCGCCAGAGTGCATTGCTCAAACAAAAATTTAATGATCTGCACTTCGACCAGAGAATGTGACATCAGTAATCAGAGGCAGAAATTGGATCAAAGCTGTTGGATATGGATAAATATTCGGCGTTTCCCACCACCGGTTTCATACTGGTCTGCACTCGTTATGTAGAGAGAGCAGGTACTCGAACCCAGGACGTTTGGGATCTCAGGCGGAACCTCTACCCCCTGAGTTACCGAGCCGAGGCAGGCAATGCTTGTCCTAACGGTGAATGACTGATTTAGGCAGCCATTTTGAAGCACTCATGTATGCTTCAAAATGTGCTTGATTCACCTTAACTGAAAAAGTTTCGTACCCAGGTTGTTCCATCAGAATTATGGCTTTGTTAGCAGCAGGATGGACAATGAACAATGAATTTATACGGGTTAAGAAGCGTTGCTTTACAAGCCCCGTTGGATAGTTGGTGGGGATATCAACATAATAATTATGATGAAAAGGATAGTAAAATAGTTAACACTTTAAATACGAAAATAAGGACTTATCGTTTGCTTCGCTGCAGTCCTGCGATCCACTTAGATTCACAACACCCACAGTTAACAACAAATAATTCCAGGGTAAGCTCCAGGTGTAGGATGGAGACGTAGTGTTAAGTAACAAAGTGTAAGTGGATGAGTGCATCGTCCAACCGTCTTTTAAATATTGTTAGTGTCGGTGCAGAGACGACCGATTCTGGGAGAGCATTCCACGGGTGACAGACACGGATGGAAAAGAAATTTCTGCGGCACTCCAGACGACTGTATTGTTCTGCGAGTTTTAATGAGTGGCCCCTCAGGTTTGTATTGCTGCTGAGTTGCAGTAAAGGGCGGCACACATGATGTGGGTCTCGCAGAATCAAGTATGTCATAATCAGGTCGCCTCGTAGCCTGCGATAGCTTCCACTGAACAATCCTAGTCGTCGCAGCCTCTCCTGGTAGGACAGATTGCGCATTCCAATTACGTTCTGAGATGCGCGGCGTTGAGGCTGCTCCAGTGCATTAAGGTCGTGTTTCAGCCATGGATGCCAGGCTTGAATTGCGTATTCGACATGGGGGCGAACATACGCACTGAGCATTTGTCGAAATATGGAGCTGTTTATTTGTCCAAACGCCCGCCTCAACAGCCCAACGTGTTGATTCCCGGTCTTCGAGGCCTTTTCCGATTGCCTGGAGCAACCCAAGTCATCTTGAACCAGGACACCCAAGTCACGTTCGAGAGTTGATTTTTGCAGTACATCCGTTCCGAGTCGGTATGAGTAGCTGCCCTGATGTCGGATGGAAAGCACCTTGCATTTACTGACGTTGAAATGCAATAAGTTTTGGATCGACCATTGATACACTGTATCTAAGTCACTTTGGAGCACATGTTGGTCGGCGTTCGCCTGGATCCTGCGCCAGATCTTGATATCGTCGGCAAACATTAGGAAGTTTGAAGCGATTCCCTGTGCAAGGTCATTAATAAACACCAGAAACAAACGTGGACCTAGAACCGAGCCTTGCGGCACACCACACTCGACTTGTATGGGGTCCGATAAAGAGCTCCGAACTCTGACCACTAATTGCCTTTGAAATAGAAAGTTGGCGATCCAGCTTAAAAGAGGGTCTCCGATCCCGTAATGCTGCAGCTTGGATAGTAGTATCCGATGGTCTAGACGATCGAAAGCCTTGGAAAAATCCAGGTAGATCACATCAACACCTTCCCCAGCGTCGGCTGCCTCGGTCCAACTACTGCGTGCAATGAGTAAATTAGTTGTACATGACCGCTGTCGACGGAAACCGTGCTGTTCAGGAGTGATGAGGTTGCAGTTTTCCAGATAGCACACCAGTGCATCGGCAACTATGGATTCCATGACCTTGGAGAGTATAGGAAGAAGGGTTACTGGGCGGTAGTTGGAGGGATCAGATCTGCTTCCACCTTTGTGAATCGGGCTTATTATTCCAAGCTTCCACATGGCGGGAACTTGATTCTGGTCTAAGCAGTGCTGGAAAAACTGAGCTAAATGTCCTGCCAGTTGGTTTGCTGCTACTCCCAATGCCTCAGGACGAATGGCTTCGACACCCGGCGAGCTGTGTTTGCGTAGAGAGGCCAGCTTTTGCAATACAGCCTCTGCGGTAAAATTGATGTGGGTTAGTCCTGGTGAGCAGAAGACAAAGCTTGGTAGATCGCTTGGTGGCAAGACCTTTGAAACGGGGGGGCGTATTGCATCTGCTGGATATGCGTCGATTGATCACGAAGTGGATTTGGCCAATTCGGTCACTAAATCTGTATCTAAAGTAGATGGAATGTTAGGTGTTGTCTGTTCGTAGTCCTGATGACCGCAAACGAATGCGAAGCCGGTCATGGAGTGAAACGTTGTGAGTAGGCGACACTTACTATTCATCTGCACCAGATGTGATCCCGTTCGTTTCACCATCCAGATTGAGATTACATGTTGCGATCCGCTTCAAAATGACCCCTCCACTAGACTGAATGTGATTTATTTCATCGACTCCATCCAGATGGACAGCTCTGATCCATGCACCGAAAGTTAACCAATCAAGTTACCATGACCAGTGTAGCAACGTTAAAAATGATTAATGGAAATAAAGGATGCTGAATCAGAGAGCAAACGAACGGACGAGATGTGAGGAAAAAGAAACAAGCTGTTAGAAGGAAGTAGAATGTATGTGAGAACGCTGGTGCTCCATGTACGACGGTGCACGTGGCCGCCGTAGTAGACATCATATAAGTAGGCGGTAGGAACTTACCTGACTTCCTGGCTTTGCACTACCTCGTCCTTTGACCATGCTGTAGGTTCATCCGACAGAGTGCGGCTAGCAAACAAACGCCTACGCAGACGGTCAATAGGTATACAACAAGTACGACTGAGCCAACATGGAGAGACGATCCAAAGTATGCTGCCAGATACCATCTAGCGAACAACAGTGCTTCTAATACTAGCAAAGCTACGCAAGCACCATAAGGCAAAGACGACAAGTCTTCTGATGAAATCGATACGTAGGGACCGTGACTCACACCATAACACTAACCGCACTGCAGCTGTTTAAGTTTCCTATGAGTCTATATCCCGCCATCTTCAATGCAAGTGATCGGAAGCCTGAAAAATTGCATGAGACGTAGCGATGGGTACAGCGGGGTAATACCACTACCTGGACATGTGAACTGGTCGAGTGCAGCTGTCCAACGGCAGCAAAAACCGGTGGCGTGTCGACCGAGTCCTGCAATAGCATCCTACACATTAAACGTGCGAAGCGCCTGCTGAAAATCATAGCATGCTGCTCAGCATATCGAGCAGAGTTTGCATAGTTGCTGTGTCCGGCTCCTGAAAAATTACACAATCCATGCGCTCCAAAAATTTCACTTAGTAGACGGTAAAACTTCCATCACAGAAATGCCAGACTACATGGTTATTTATACTTTAACCACAGGACAGAAATACAGCAGTGCACCGTATCGATGCTTCCCTGCCACGCAACTATCACCAGTCGCGCGTGGACCAAGGATACTGCGAGGGTCACTCGGCTCCCTACGTGGGCTCGAATCAGTGACGTTCGGATTGCAAGGCTACCGGCCACTTCGGCTAAATAGTAAATGTGAAAACGATAAATAAGATGATTGTCACGCCCAGTTAATAGTAAGGATAAGGCCCGATGTGAAAAAGTGCACAACTCTGGGATGCGAACAATCGGGTCCTAGAAACGAACGATATCTCCAGTATTTCCTCATCTACTGTAGAGTGACAAAAATGCGAGGATCAACTGGGCCGTTTAAAGTGTCAAATCGGATTGCTAGTTGCTTGATGACCTGAGTTCAACTGAGTAATTTCCAGTTCGGGTTCTACACTGGGGACGGGGGAAGAAGAGCTCCACAGGAATGATCTACAGCCGGATCAGAAATCAAGCAGGCGCGAAAAAATGACCAACAATATAGACCCGACGCGTGCTATCTGTAGTGGCAAACAGAAAAGTCGTTTAAAAGTATGTAGCGAAAAGTGATGCTATTAATATAACAAAACCGGAGGAAGCGATCGTAACCGACTTATTCCGAATCGCCTATCCTAGCTTGGGTTGGTTCAGGATCCCGAGCTTGTTTGAGTGAAAAGTCCCTGGGTGACAGAGTATAAGGAAATTGACCATATAACACACGAGTCCTACGATCGGTCACAATAGTACCAAAATTCCCCGTCCGAAATGACGATATCAAGAAGTCGATGGCACTTCGCGCTTGTTGTGATGCATCGTGACGCGAGCCCATCCACCCGATGGTTAAAGTTTGCATTTTTGTTGACTTTTCTATTATTTTTACGCGTGCACATTTCGGCATCCCCTTCCGTTCCAACCAATTCGTCCTTCATTACTA